ATAGATAGAAAATATTAAAATCATTTGATCGTCATATTTTTATAATATTTTAATTGTTAATTCTAATTAATATTATTTTAAAGTATCTTCAGCAAATTTCTTACAGAAAACAAATGCACACATATTAATTAAACATAACATAGATACTAATCGAAAATGAAATGTTTAAATTTCAATAATGGTGAAATCTTTTAATTAACACTTGAATCTATTATAAACAAAATATGTAATGAGTCCAGAAGACTTAAAAAAAAAGAAAAAGAAAAAGAAAAAAAAAACGTCGATGTTTGCACGCATGGACCAGTTTGATCAAAGAACGTTATCGATAAAATGTTATTTACATTTTCAATTTTAAATATAAATTTTCGCTTTCGCTTGAATTATCAATGATTTATTAGAAAGAATAAACGAAAAGAAAAATGATAAAGATTCGAGATATAGTATATGTACTTATTTAGTATACTATAAGTGTTGTACGCGTGATTATCAAAGTTTCTATTTTATAAAGCTAATATAGGTGTTGCAAAACACCTTTAGCTAGAGTTCACGGTCGAAGATCACCTTACCGTGTTTACATTGTTCTAACGCTTTATCCAGTTAAGCTATATAGTGATTGGCTGTTAATGAAAGGTTTCCTATGAAACATTAGACTTCTTTTAAATTAACTCTTAAATTGTCTCAACGAATATACATACAGTAGAACCATTAATATCATTTCATTTTTATAATTAATTATTTTGAAATATTATTTTTATTATTGCAGACAAACTAAAATATTATTTATACAATATTTCTATTATGATAGAGAAAATGTTTAATAATAATTTAATCTAAAATTTTATTTTTATTATTACAGATAAAACAAAATGTTATATATACGATATATCTGTTATTATAAAAAATATTTGATAATGAATTAATCTAATAATTTTATCTTGATCATTATAAAAACAATGAAACATTATGTATGAAATATTTGCTACAATGCATGCTTGATAATGAATTATTATAAAAAGAATAAAACATTAGATATGACCTAATGATCTCAGGTATAATCTAATAAACTAATAACAATGACATATATGAAATGAAATATAATGTTCAATGTTCAGATAATAAAGGTTCTACTGTACTATATGAAATACTGATTGTTTAATTTAAAAAAGAAAAAGAAAAAAAAAGAAAAATTTTCTCTCATTAAATGTGAGATAATAATGTGTTCTCATTATTATTTTATTGTTTTGCTTCATACACTTTAACCAGATATTTCTTTGTTAAAAACCACTAAAGTATGGTTTGAAAGTTGGAAAAAAGAATAATAATACGCATAATATTTCAAGTTACCTCTAACTATTAAACTGATGTTTGTTGCTGCTCGTTAATCAGATTAAATTGAAAATAAAGAAAGAAAAATGCGAATAAATGTATGCGCTTGTAAGTATGAATGTACGTATGAGAGAGATGAAGGAAGAAAGAGAATTTAGAAATATATATATCTATTTTCATTCTCGTTTTAATGAGTCACCAAAAGATATGCAAAAAAAAGTCACAAAGTCTACAGATAAACTTTATGTAGGTATATTAGAGAGATGTAAAGATCAGAATTTGAAAAGATATATCTATATATAAATATAAATATACATATACATAAATAATACATACTATATATTATAGTTAAAATACATTTAATCAAAAGCTCATTCTGTACATGATGTACGTGACGACGTTGACGATGACAACAACAATAACAACAACAACAACAACATCAACAACAACAACAACAACAACAACAACAACAATAACAGTAACAATAATAACAAAAAAACAAATAAAATGTTTATTTTTTGGCCTGTATCGTTTTTATATAATATACCTTCTCAAACACATACCTGTTATTCTAAAGAATTTCATTTTGCAAGTTGAATACACGAATATACATACGTTCATTGATATTTGTGACTTCATAACGACATCATAACATACAAAGAGTTTAATTAACATTGTAGAGTTTAGATTAAATCGTTAGTTTTGCTCGTAATCGTGTTATATCACTTTGAAACTGTCCATCGAATGAACAATATCGTAAGGTAAGTGAGAAACGTGATATGCATATAAATAAGAATTATAGGATTAAATATGTTAAAACTAACAATATAATAAATTATATTGTTCAAATAGACATTCCTTTTGCTGATAATATCTTTTGTATTATTGTTAATTCTAAATTCTCTTTCTTTTAAAAGAACTCAAAATGGCTAAATATAATAATAATTAATACTAAATATAATAATAATTATACATACATACATACGTTTCTATTTTTTTTTCTTTTCCAAAAAATATAATATATATAATATTATATTATAATTTAATTATTATTAGATTCAGTCATTTTTATTTGTCGGAAAAAATGTATTAAATATAATTATTATATCCCTATATATATTCATACCCATATATAGCGTACGTGTATATATATATATATATATACACATACATAATTTTTGTTTAAAAATTAAGTAAAATTGATTCGCGAAAACAAAAGAAGAAATATAAAATTATTATATATCAAAGTTTTTAACTATCAAAGTTTTACATATGAAGTTTTTCGTAAAACATACAAAAGCTTCGTATATATATATATATATATATATATATATATATATATATATACATATATACTTACAACGAATATAGTGAAGCGATAAAAAATGAAGGTGATTTTTGAGAACACAAAGGAATGACGTTCACGTTAATCATACACTCGAGACATAATTATAATTAATAATAAATTAGAACTTTCTCTTTATAAAGAAAAGAACAATGGCGTGGATACTACAAAGCTTATGAGAGCTTTCGAAGATTGTACAAGAGCACCACTATAGAAAAATCCTTTTCTTTTCACATTGAAAATCTTTTGGATATACTAATTACGAAAATATATCAATAAAATTACAAAGTCGGACAAAAGTATCATTAATGTCTCAATTAACATATAACGCGATGTATCTCGATGTCAATGATTAAAATATATATATTACACATATATATATCTTATGTATATTTTATATGTATGTTGAATATGTATATATTTGTATATATTTTTACACATATGTATTACTGTATATACTTTCCTATGTATTCTTATGTATATTCTGCATTTATATATTCTTACGTATATTTTACAAGTATATTCTGTATATGTGTAATCTTACGTATATTCGGTATATTCGGTATATATATATATATATATATATATATATATATATATATATATATATATAAGTTAATAGATATATGTACGTATATTGGTTTGTTCTCGAGCCAACATGGAAAGATGGCTACACGTTCGATATGTGAGAAAGAAAGATACTCTTTTCGAAGATATCATTTTTACGATCGTTTCATTACCTCGACCTCGGCATGCTCTTTACGATGACGTGAGTTCCTTGCATAGAGACGTCCTATAACCAACCGATCGATAAATTACAAATTAAAAATGTACGAAGTTTCATCTTTTAAAATGGCTCAATCGATTATACATGCATATATATATATATATATATATATATGTGTATGTGTGTGTGTGTGTATTAATACAAATATGAAATAATATAATAATTTTTATTCAGTTTTCTTACGAAACTTTTATAATAACTTTTAATATAATACAATTATTTGTTAATTTCATTTTTACCGATTGTATGTAAGTTGGGTCACTCGACTGCGTTTTTGCTTTTATTATATTTGATATATATATATATATATATATATATATATATATACATATATATATATATATGTATATGTGTATGTATGTATGGGTAGGTATGTAAGTTACGAGGAGCTTTTTTTTATCGGATCGTAATATAAAAACGTTATTCTATATGACGATGAAAATCTTTACGAGTTGATTTTAATCAATATCAATGTTTAATGCGCGTGTAACAATGTTTTTTTTATAACGAACCCTGTTAACTATAAAATGAAGATTACATCTAGGTTAGAATTTATGAAATGATTTAATGATATTATTATACCTTAAATGAAGAATACGCATAACTATATTTTTATTTGTATAACATTTTTTTTTATTTTTATAAACAATAATATTAACGAATATATTATAATAATTATCTTTTATCGTGAAATATTTGTAATAATTTTTTTGGGACGAGCATATTATATGTATAAGAGATTACCTTGCCAGAATACGTTAGCTATGTCAGAAGAACGTGAGCGTGTTTATGATTCATTTAAAGATCGAATTACCAGCTGCGAGAGGTTAGTAAATACGTTTTGATATAGACGATCATCCGTTTCTCTGTAGAATCGAGGTGATTGTGATACGAGAGATGACAGGGAGGACAACGCGTGGGACTAAAGCTTTAATCGAATGACGTGCCTTGTGTATTCTATGACGCAGCTTGCAAGTAAATTCACGTCCAAAGAGAAATTGTCCTAACGTCGAAAGCTTCGAGAGACCGTGAAATATTTAATAAGATTAGGATCATGAAATAATTGATTATTATTAAAGAAAATATTTAATAAATTTATTCCAAAATCAATTCAATCGAACTGAAATTATTTATCGTATAAATAATATCATTCGATATTATTTACAATAAAATTATTCAAATCAGATTAAAATGATCGATATAATTTATATCAGATAATTTTAAAATCACACATGTATATATATATATATATTTTCATTAATTTATATAAGATAATAATTTATATAATTTATATCAGATAATCATAAATTCTTTATATTAATCATAAGATAAAATAGATATTTAAAATAATTTCAATGGATTATATTCAAACAAGATTAAAACTAACCTAATTTATATTAAACGATCTAAATTTTGCTTAAAAACGAACTAATATTATATATTCCTATAAACGTAATAAATATCATTCGATAACATTTTCGATAACATTTTTCGATAACATCAACGATTAATAATTATAAATGTATATAAATCAATGGAAAAAAAAGAAAAAAAACAATAAAAAGATTTCGAAATGATGTATGTATTAACAATGACGATTATTGAATGTTAGGAATGATTTTGAATATCGAGAAATCACGAAGGCTTTAGAAGAACGAGAACTAAAACAGGACCTTTCGCTGGAAGGCCTAAGATGTGAGTAAGGTAGATAAATGTCGTACAGAGAGAGAAAGAGAGAGTAGGGTAGACTTCGATGATACCGGAGTGGGGGTAAAAGCGCGAGGAGTGGGGAGAGACCGCGAGACAGTACGATCGCGCGGTAGTTGAGTCCTGACTAACAGTCCGCGTGTTACCTCGAAACGTTAAACAGGTGTTGTGTTTTCAGAATCTTCGTTAATACAAAATAATATATATATACATATATATGTATATATATATATGTGTATGTATATATGTATGTATGTATATTAAAGATAATTACACGTGGAAATATTAAACATCGATGTTTCAATAATGTTTCTCATCGGTTTTAGAACGGTGACGTTTATGAACGAAATATGCATTCGTGAATTTTAAAAGCTTAGAAAAGACGAACTAAAAAGCGAAGGAATCGAAAAAATACGAAAGAAAGAAAAAATAAAAAAGAAAATAAACGAAGGTTCGTCTAATTGAATCTGCGTCGTTGTAGAGATCGTTGGAATAAAAGGTAAGAAATGAAACTTGATTTACAATATTATTTATATCTATTAATTTAATTGTTTTATGTTAAATTGAAGTATTTTCTTTTTTTTTTTTGTTCGATTTGTACGAATTAATTATGTCGCAAGTGATCATTACATAATATGTTTAATAAGGAAATTTATTTTCGCACATTTGTAGGTTAAAGCGCGAAGAAGTTTTCAAATGAAAGTTTCTTTTGTTTTATTCGTCTTTTCGTTTTTTTTTTTTGTTCTTTTTTATTTTTCATGAATCCTCCTCGTACATACTTTCATTCCGTTTTTCATTAATCATTAAAGTTTCGCTGGAAGTTATCTAACTTACCTCGATGCTCTTTGATAATAATGCTTTTTGATTGAAATAAACTGATGAACGAAGAAAAGAAAAAAGTTTAATGAAAAGTCAGTTTGATACGAATTTCAATCCGATTGAAGTTTGTACTTTATCGAGTTTTGTAATAAATCGATCGATAAAATAGAGATCTTAAACGTCGCATCGTTTAATCTATTTTTTTAATTTGTAAATTCACAAATAAAAACATTACACATTTTATAATAAAATATTATACATTTTAGATATATTCAATTTAGAGAAAAATTATTCAAAATGATCTACGAAAGCATATATTCTTTATATTGTAATCATTATTTCTTTAAAGGTTGTTTCAGAATGATAAGCTATTCTCCATAATTGTAATAAAAATGAATCTTTTTAGATCTTTACCGATTTTTTTTTCAATAGTCAATAAGTTAGTAATCTATAATAAAAAATTTAATTCTTTATCTTCTTTTTTTATTTTGAATCAAGTATGAGAAAATATATATCGTACAGTGGTTCTCACATCGTAAGTGCTTATAGAGAGACGTAAAATCCAAATTTTTATTAATAATTGCGATTTATAATTATAATTATTTACAATAAGATAACATTGTGATTTCAAGATCGTATAAACGTACGTATAAACGATGAAATATAATATATAATTTTATATATATATATAATATATATATATAATATATAAATATGCGTATGTATTATTCGAAATCAATTATTATTATCGTTATCATCCAAGAAGTAAGTAAGAAAATTATTACATTAATTATTAAATAAGATTATACATAACCTTTAAAAACACATAAGAATTTTATAGTGTAATAAATCGCTAATAATAACTTATTTCGTACGAATTGCCGAACAAAACAAAATAAAACTTTTCGTGATAGGGGATAAGCCGGATAAAAGTACAAGATGAAGTAACGAAAAATAAAAAACAATAACAAAAAAACAAATTAAAAACAAACTCTGTTACCCCCTCTCTTTCTTTCTCTCTCTCTCTCTCTCTCTCTCTCTCTCTCTCTCTCATCTCTGTCTCTTTGTTTTTGTCTTTCTCTCTCTTTCTTTTTCTCTCTCTCTCTCCTCTCTCTCTCTCTCTTTCTCTTTCTCTCTCTTTGTGTATCTCAGTCGATCCAAAAGAAAGAGAATACAGTAGGAAGGATACGCTCTTTGCACTCTCCGGATCGTCAACTTCGAGAAGATATAACTTTTTCACACGAAACTAGGTCTCGAGATCCGCGAGACGCGAGGGATAAAAAAAAGAAAAAGAAAGAGAGAGAGAGAAAGAGAGAGAAAGAGAGAGAGAGAACGAAGGTTGTGTCGAGAATATGAAAGTAAGAGAGGAAGAGAGAGATAGAGAAAGAGAGAGAGAGAGAGAGAGAGAGAGAGAGAGAGAGAGAGAGAGAGAGAGAGAGAGAGAGAGAGGGAGAGTGCTTCTTTTCACGATTATCTCGCATTTACAACAACGCGTTTTACGCTAGATCCTTCTCTCTCTCTCTCTCTTCGATCACGTACACCGTCGACTGGAAAATGTAATCTCACGTCACCCACGAGTATTTTTATACGAGCAACAAAAAGCAATACTAGAATATACCGATCGGTCGCGTGTTGTACTATTAATAACACGAACGGACCGATACATGGTCATATAAAATATAACACGTTGAGTTTTCTCTTTTTATCTCTCTTTCTCTTTCTCTCTCTCTCTTTCTTTCTCTCTCTCTCTCTCTTTCTCTCTCTCTCTTTCTCTCTTTCATGCTCTCTCATGTTTTCTTCTTTTTTTATCTTTCGTTCTCTTATATTCGGAAAACAAAATAAAAAAAAAAGGATAAACAAAAGATTCGAAACGTTCCGATTGTCGAAAGGTAAGAGATATTGCTGTGGGTAAGCAAAGTGTAAACGAATGATTTACGAGCTAAACTGGATTATTTTTCCAAAAAGAAATTCGATCGAAAATTTCCTAGTGAGATTTCTCAATTCAACGTTAGTTTGTGCATATACATTTACGTACGTGTATGTGTGTGGGAGTGTATGTGTGGGGGGTGTGTGTATGTATGTATGTGTGTATGTATGTATTTGTACGCAAATACGTATTTTGAAATCTTGAAGAATTATTTATTCAGAACACGAGGGGACTCATCTCTCTGCAATGTGAGACTTTTGTTTTTCATATTTTATATCAGTGTCATTTATACACACGTATATTTACGTTTGTCTGTGTATGCGCATAAAATATATGCTAGATTTTATTTCTCTCAAAAAAATTTGTATGTATTTGATTTCCATAATATTTATATACGTGTATATAAATTATTTTAGAAATTATATAAGAAATTGTATATTATAGAAAATTTTTATTATTTATTACATAATTTTGTTATATCGTGATATAAATGCGTTCTCCCGGATAATTTGTTTATATTTCCAAACAAATATATTATTTTTATTAAATAGATTATATTTTTGTATCATATTGAAAATACTATTCATTAAAGAAATTTATTTTATAAGAAATTGCTGTATTTAATTTATAGAAGAAATGTATTATTTATTAAAATTTTTATTATTATTATTATTTATTACAATTAATTATTATAGAAACTATATATATATATTTTTTTTTTCTCAAATTTTCGATAAAAATACAATCAAAATATGATATAGTTTCGATCAAGTATAAAAAATGATGCATTATTTAGTACAATAATAGATATTCAAAATTCAATTCTAATAAGTTAAATTTAAACGAGGTATGTACATAGATATATAACATTACGTATCTTTTTTATTTTATCGCTTAAAGTCCTATTACTGATATACATTGTAAACATAAAATCTTTTGGAAATAGTTCAAAAGATCTTTGTTAGATTCGATCGTAACGATAACACGAATGCCTATTTATTTTTAGCGAAACAATTTTAACGTAGCATGAAACCTCTCTGTCTTTGTCTCGCTTTCTTTCTCTCTTTCTCTCTCTCTCTCTCTCTCTCTCTCTTTCTCTCTCTCTTTCTTTTTTTCTCATCGATTTGTGATAGAGAAACCTTAATTTCAGTTACTCACGAACAAATTGTGGAATCGTTCTCATCCATCAAATTCATCTTACTTTATTCTTGATGATGAAGAATTACTCGATGCGATTTTCATTCCGATGTACTATTAATGAAATTTGGATATAAATTTGGTAAGATAATAGAAATTTTATCTTTATAAAGAGAGAAAGGGATAGAAAGACGAAGAAAGAAAGAGAGACAAAGAGAGAAAGAGAGAAAGAGAGAAAGAAAGAGAGAAAGAGAGAAAGAGAAAGAGATGGAGAGAGAATTATAGCGTACCAAAAGCAAATTGTTCCTTCGAAGTATGTGGAACCATCCCAGGTTCCGGCCGTTGTTCCATTTTAACGATGCCTGATAGGTCGACACGTTGCAATAAATAACTATTGGGAACGAGGTCTACGAAAACAAAAGGTCATATGTATGTATCTATATAATATATAGTATATAGTATATCGTATGTATATCGTATGAGTGTATATATATATATATATATATAGATGTATGTATGTATATATTTACTATATAGTATTTTTGAATATCGCGATACGTGTAAGACTTTTTTATGGAAAAATACGATTTGATATGAATCTTTTATAAATCTTTATGCAATCTTGAAATCGCATAATTTTAATCATTTCTTCTCTTGTTCTTTTTTTTTTTTTATTTAAAGTTTGTTCAAAAAAAAAAAAAATTAATCGCAAGAAATTTTTAATCTTAAACAACTGTATGAAAACAATTTGATTATATTCAATCAGTGTACGATTTTATCGAATGGAAATTTTCATTAATATATTTTATTATCATATTATCGATTCATTGTAAAATAAAAAGGTTATTATTGCAATTGTAAATTGATTAAGAATATGAAGCTACATGACGAAATAATTTCTATTGATAATGGCCAATATGCAAATTTTATGTATTATGCCTGTCATTATCATATTTCAATTTTATTAAGGATATGAAGTTATATGACGAAGTAATTCACATTGAAAATGGCTAATATTCAAATACGACATTTATTACACCATTATATGATTGATTCATTGCAAAGTAAGATAATTAACATAATAATTGCAATTTCATTGTGAATATGAAGTTATGTGCAAAAATAATTAAGATTGAAAATGGACAATATATTTATACAAATTTTGTCTCTATGTTATCATTATATGATCGGTTAATTGTAAAATAAAACAGTTCTCATTGCAATTGTAATTTTATTAATAATATAAAGATGCACACGTACACAGACATATACACAAACACACTCAAACATCAAAGTAATTAAAAGTGGAAATAGTCAATGTATGATTCGTATTATTAAGAGATGATATAATCGGAAATAAGCTTAACGCTTTGGTAAATTTATACGATTATTCTATCACAATTAGTAACCTACATTTATCAATGAGCATTGAGGCGAATATGAATATATTTAATATTAAAAAGTATATTATAATAGGTGGAAATATAATATTAATGATTGTTAAGGAACTTCGGTACATAAAATTGCAAAATTGCAAGAATTAATAATTAAATTTATTCATATGATATTATTACGTTCTAACGAGAAAGTTTTTTTCTGTTTTATTTTTAACGAATAATTTATTTATTTAAACATAATTAAGACGGAATTTTTCGATAGACTTATGTGACATTAACGTTTTATATAAAATTTAATTTTGATGTTTATTATTTATGAAAGATCTTTCATTAAGATTATCGATTTTTTCTAAATTATAAATGTTTTTATGAAAAAAAAAAAAAACAAAAAAAAAATAATATTACGAATGTAGTATGGACATATTGCAAATATTGTCTGTAAAGTTTGTGCCGGTTCTCTTGTCTCATGTATTCATCAGAATATGTCTGGTACATTCTAACGATATTAGAAACGTATATTAATTTGAAACGAGACATTTGACGAAGTTCGCTTATAAATTTATTTTATTTCAAAATTTAATTTGAAATTGAAACTTCATTGTTGTGTCTTGAAAATATCGGAAGAAAATCGGTACTCAATTTTCGGATGATATAGTAAATAAAAAAAAAAAAAAAAAAAAAAAAAAAAAAAAGAAAAAAGGAAACGATCTAACAAATAAAAAATTATTATTGCAGAACTTACCACGAGATTAAAAGAGAATCGAAGGAAAAATGCTTTAGACGAAGGAAGCCAATGATATTCGTTGGATCAGCGTAGCTGATCTATCGAAAACGTGGCGGGTGTCGATCCTAAGTTATCGAGGGACGACGATATTGAGGGAAGGTTCTCAGGAACCCGGCAAATGTGGCTCTGTGCACGGTGAGCCGAGGTTACGGGGGCCGTGGGGCCCGTGGCGGGGGTGGTGTAGGTGGTAGTGGCGTTGGAAATAATAGTAATAATAATAGTACTGGTGGTGTAGGTAGTGTTGGTAGTGGTAGTGGTGGTGGTGGTGGTGGTGGTGGTGGTATTGGTAGTGGATTAGGAAGTACCAGAAGTGGACGAGATAGTGGTCGATTTGAAAGATCGAGAGAGGCAAGCGTGAGATTGCCATTGAGTCCTCGCACTTTGTGCGCTCCAGGAAGCGGCGGGGGTGGTGGTGGTGGGGGAGGAGGAGGAGGAGGTGGAACTGGCCCACTAGCTGGGACCCAGACGCATGGGCACGTTCAGCAAACTGGTGGTGGGGGGCCGGGGACTGGTGGAGGTGGTACCACTGGTACTACTGCCTCACCTGAAGAAGTTCAAGCCCTTCAAGACGAACCTATGCTACATGTTGAAAGACCAGCACAACAAGGAACTTGGATTTGCTGTGTTCCGTGTTATTGGCTTAGAAAAAGTAAAGCCGTACATAAGGCTTTGCTCACCTTCGCCATGTTACTCGTTACCAGTCTACTTGTCACTAGTCCTGTTCTCTTTCTTATCACTACTTTACCCGAAGGGGAACAACCACGTGATTGTGCGCCATTGGTAAGTTGATTTCTTTCTTATTATTATCACACACGTATTTTATTCGACGCATCATTTATATATTCGTAAGTGATATCATTGGTATTACTTCTTTTTCTTTCTTTCTTTATTTTTTTTTTCTTCTAGATATATTTTATTATTTTATTTCTCTTGGTAATGGTATTATTATTCTTTTTATATAATAGATTTATTATCAATCGTTGTTATTATCAATCGCAATATTAATTATTAATAGAATTCTTGCATTCTTAGATACATTTTACTGTATTATTATTATTATTATTATTATTATTATTATTATTATTATTATTATTATTATTATTATTACTTTCTTTTTTACTATATATATCTTGTTATTATTAAAAATGTTGGATAGAGGGAGGAATATGGGCCATAAATCTTTCGTAAATTGTAAGGAAGTTTCTTCGAGCGATCTATAAATATTCTTTTATCTTAGATGACAGTTATCAGAATTCTCGATCAGCTTCGTATCTATTTACTATCATGTAGAATGGACGGACGAGTCAGACGATTTGTAAGTCGTGGAAACAGCTTTTCTTCGAATAACTTTTCGTAGGCAAGATGGCCACTTGATTTATATTTCGAATACGTATCTCTTGAATCTCGTATATTTAGACTCTTTTTATACTGTCGTATAGAGACATACAATGCAGGGGAAAAAGTGAACGAGAGAGAGAGAGAGAGAGAGAGAGAGAGAGAGAGAGAGAGAGAGAGAGAAAGAAAGAAAGAGAGAGAGAGAGTAATGTAACTATGTATGTTACTACAAATTCGATGTAATCGCTTGTAATATATCTCTATAGTGAGAGTAACAAGCAGGCAATATTAATCTTTTGCCACAACAACGATCTCTCTCTCTCTCTCTCTCTCTCTCTCTCTTTCTCTCGTTTTACTTAATGTTTTAATTTTAATCCTTTTATATGGCTTACTGTTGTACCTTATGTATATTATTTTACAAGTATAATTGCCTAGAGTTCATTTATTATACGTTTACTATCGATTTGATATAAAACTGAGAATAATTTGTTTTACATGCTTAATCATATTTAAAAACGATTATATTTTATAAATGATAAAAATTTTATTACTTCGATTAAACAAAAATATATATATATATTATAATTTAAAATTAAAATTATATAATAATTTTTTTTAAAGTGCAAATTATATTAATATTGTGTAATTAAAAAATCGTAATTTTCTTCTAATTTATTATAAACATTTTCATTTTTGTATGTGCTCTGATAAAAAAAGATCAATGCGTTTAAATGACTTTACGAGATAAACGCGTTTAAAGTTATGCACTTTGTAATAGGGATTAATTATTAATTTATATAAAATATCGTGAACCTCCTCTTAAGGAAATAATTATTCTAGAAAATTGGACTAGATTTCATTGTAGGAAAATATAGTTATGCTTATAAAAGAAAAAGTTCAAATTAGTTTTTTTTGCACCTTAATTACTTTTTATCAGAGCGTGTCGGTGTATAATTATCATTATTATTATTATGATTATTATTATTTTTGATTATTATTATTATTGTTGTTATTATTATTATTATTATTATTATTATTATTATTTAATTAGTCGATTGATTTTAATTATATATATTAATTATGTACATAAATAATCAAGAAAAGTACAAGTTATCAAATAGTATAACTAAAATAAAAAAATTCGTGCGTTTCTTATACTCATTTAATATGGTAGTATTTAATATAACTATTATAAAATATTAATTATTATGTAATATATTCAGTTTAAATATATACACGCGATTATTTCCTTCAGTATAGTAAAAGATATTTCAGATGAATGATATGTATGGTGTCAAGGGAGAACACGTTATAGTGATAATTATTTAACTTTACGATAACCTTTGTGACATCCTACAAAGATCAAGTTAAAATTTTTTTTTTTTATGAAATTCTTTATTAAATATTTAAGTATAATTATCAAAAATACAAGTACTATTAAATTTATAATTTTTTTAAGGAAAGAAAGAGAAAAAAGAGAAAAAAAATAGAAAAACATCCTCGAACGTTTTAAAATCTTTTAAATTCTAATTTGTTTAGAAGTATCGGTTACCTTTTAAAAGAACATATCTTTCAATATTATTTGTAATGATACTCACATAATTAAATCTTTTGCTTTAAAAACGTTCAAAAAAAAAAATGTTCAAAAAAAACATGATTTTTTTTTTTTTTTTATATATAAATGAAGACCTTTTAAATTAGAAAGATCGTTTAGCTAAGTTTCCATTCATTCGAGAAGGATCTTGCAAAATCTTTTTATAACATTGACCAATAGAGAACAAAGGAAGATAGAGTGATAAAGGGAAGAAGAGTCATTTGAGTTCTGGCTTCCATTTCCACGAATATCTTTCGTGACAAACGAGGCGTGAGATTTGCAAAATGGCAGAGAGAGAGAGAGAGAGAGAGAGAGAGAGGATTTCAAACTGACAGCATCATATTTCCGCCCGCATAATTTTGGTTAGGTAATCCGATAGAAAACGATAAACTATTTAAAGAAAAACTTGATGGAAGATGATAGGCCCCTATCGATTTCTAAGTCACTCCTTCTTTTTGATTTTTCGCAGATGTTTTTAACGTCACCCTTTCTTTTCTTTTCTTTTTTTTTTCTTTTTTTTTTTTTTTTTTTTTTTTTTTTTTCTTTTTTAGTTCTGTTTCAATCGTCCGTCAATATTTTTTTCTTGTCTCTTTTATTTTTAAAGACGATGACAATTAATTTTTGAAGTAAAAAAATTAATTATCATATAGAAATTAATCGTTCGTGCGTTAGAAAAATTTGCAGAAAATTATTATAGACAAAATTATGGAATTCTTTTTTTTTTTTTCTTTTATACGAGCATTTTTTTGCTATTGTAATTTTATCTCAAATTGTCAGAATTAAAAAAGAAAAAAAAAAAAAGAAGAAAGAATAACATAAGAAATGATCCTAATTTAAAATAAATATTGCAACGAAACAATGTATATATTTTATTCAATCTTTCATTGAAACAACGAAAGAAAGAGGAAAAAAGAAGAAAAAGGAAGGGAAAAAAAATAGGAAATAGTAGGCAGATGGTAAAACATATGTGAAATTTACACATACATATACACATACCTGTATATACACATAGAGATACGTTAACATATATGCATCGAGTAATCGATATAAACACATGTTCGAGTTCGTCGTTGAAGGTAATATTTTACGAGGTCGAAAATTGGAAGGCCGTTCGATCGAAACTGAGATCTAAAATAATAATTCGCCTGCGCATCCGCCATTGTATTTTTATATTCACGTAAGAGAAATCGTGCCATCCTAAGCTTACTTGAAGATTCACCCCTGGTCTATCTGGTTGCTATTTACTGATACTACTGGTTTTACTGTTTATGCTGCTACTGCTACCTAACTCCCCAACCTTTTCCCAAATTCAACGAACAAACATGGAACGAACACATCGAGGAAAACTAATTTTCTCCGACTATAATCCATCGTTTATTCGACCGTACGAAACATAGCCATAGATAATTCTGTCGTCTATAGATTTTGAATAGCTCGTTTAAACTTCCTTTCTGAACGAAGAATAATGTTGAATTAAATTGACCTTCTATTAACAAATTAATTATCTTTTTTGAATTATTGAACTACGTAAATTCTCATTGACAATGATAATTATTACTATTATTATTATTATTATTATTATTATTATTATTTATATATCACATTATCTATGAATATAATATTTTTATTGATAATAGTTTAAAAAGTAAAAATGTTTAGAAAGATATTATTATTCTATGAATTTAGATAATAATTCAAAAAATATTTCCATCTAATTTGATCTTTCATGTATCATTATGAAGATAATTATAATAATAAAAGAAATATTTTTGAAAATAGATTAGAAATGATTAGATTTATATTAAAAATTGATTTCAGATATGTATATTGATTTATAAGGGATAAATATTTTAAATAGAATTAATACTATTTAAATACCAATTCAGATAGATTATTATATATATATATATTTATTTATTTATTAACAAAAGAAATTTAGAAATAAAATATTCGAAACATATGGTTTTATATGTCATACATATTATCATAAAAAGTATTATATATATAAATTTAGGAAATATATAAAAATAATTAAAAAAAAAATATTGAAATCTAATTGATTTAAGTCAATGACTCATTTTAAAGAGATAATTATCATAATAATACAAATATGTGTCAATACAGAGAGATAAATTTTAAAATTTCTAAATGAATATATATGTAATAATCTTACATCAGGATCAACAGTTTAAATAGATAAATATAAAAAAAAAAAGATATAAAAATCGAATACTAACTGTAAATAAATTGACGTAAATATTTTAAAAATATTTTCATAAAATATCGAATAATGTAAATGTATAGATTAATGAGAAAAGATTATAATTAACCGAAGAATCTGATAATTCAATATCAAAACAATCATAAAAGATGTCTAGAGAAATTTCTATTAATTTTTATTACAAAAATACAATTAGAAAATAATCCATATAGTAAATGTGTATTTATTTCAAATCGAGATAATATCTAGATAACAATTTAATCCATAATAATATCTAAAGATAAAAGGATTTTATAGGAAATAATTAAAAATTCGTAGAAATGTTTACTTATCCTTCTCTTAAAATTCTCAAATATATTTTTATTCTTAATTGTAATTAGTAAAAAGTTATTTATCGTTGTAGATAAATCTCTTATCGTAGTCATATATATATATATATATCGTAAATTTTACTCAAGGACCTTTAACTGAATTACGAGTTGCTTAATGTTGATCGTGAAGCCATAGTAAGATAACTCTAAGCCTTTTGCTGATAAGATGGCTATTACACGCCTTCCGTTGTCGTTCATCCTTCTTCTCTTTCTCGTTAAAAGTTTCTTTTACTGATTTTCGAAGAGATTAAACATTTTAAACCATTTTTCTTCCAAGTCGCCAATTATAAAGCTTTGGAATAGATAGATAAGGAAATATTTGCTCTATTTTTTTTTTTTCATTTTCTCTTTCTCTCTCTCTCTCTCTCTCTTCTCCTTTCTTTGTCTTTTTTTTCTTTTTTTTTTCTTTCTCTTTTTCTTCTTTTTCTTTTTTCTTTCGCTGCATCCGATTGCGTAACGTTATCGATCGAAGCAAATATATACGATACCTCCAAGTTACTTCACAAATGACTCGGTAACAATCGAAATGCTTTTGAACGTAGTCGTCTATGAGAAGTAGCATATAAGAATGTTATCGATCATTTCAATTAACGCGTCATGATTTCATTGACAAGTTATAAACAATAGTTGGTTATTTAAAAAATTATGTATCAATGTATTTCTTTGTGATATTAGGTATGAATATTTAATGAAATATTATTTTAATCGAATGACATTTTAAAATGAGATTTCTAATAAAAATTCTTATGTTTGTTAAATGATCACAAAGTTAATTTTTTTTTATCTATTTTGTATCTATTATCTACTATATAGTAACATATAATTATTAAACTTATAGTTATAATATATATATATATATATATATATATATATATATATAACATATAGAATAGTTATTTATTTCTAATCAAATTAGAAATTATTATATACTCTTACAAAAAAATAAAAAGAAAAAGAATCTTATATACAGCAGCTTTCTTTATAACGATAATACAAAGGATTAATATATTATATTATATAATAAATTATAAAAAAAATAATATTTTGTGTAAATATTGTAATATATATATATATATATATATATATATCTAAATATATCTAATATATATATCTAATATACATATAATATACGTAAAATAATAATATCATGTAACGTATATAATTGTTTTGAAATATGGTTAAGCATTAATACATATATAAAATTAATCACAATGTTAATTTAAAGGACGTGAAATTGAATGAACTTATTTAGGAAATATTTGTTGTTGATCGTATTATTTATAAACAAACTACGTTCTTATCGAAATCAATCGTAAAAGCGTACGTAGTACGTGCTAGACCATACCGAAGCCGTATTTCAAGGTAAGGTTTCGAGGCAAATGTCAACCTCGACTGGGTTCTAGTCTTTACCCTTCATCCTGACCTTTATTTCTTACTATCAAAGCAAGAAACGAATTTCGAAAGATATGTATGCCTACTATCATTATTATTATTATTTTTTTTTTTCTTCATTTTCAAGATAATATCAAATTGATTTTGTTTTTTGTGTCTTCTTTCATTCATTGTTGTAATCTCTTGTGTTAAAAATAAACAAGAAGTGTTAACATCATTTACGTGTCAATGATATTGACTTTTTTTGTTTACTTCAACGAGAAGGACGTAACACGAGATAGTAAGATTAAATGAGACACACAGATAGGATAAGTAAATAGGATTATTGAAAGGTTTAATTGCAATTGAGATTGTGTGATTCTTTTTAATTTTAATTAAGAAAAATTCTTGGGATTATTTAATATTATTATTTTATTATTTATTATTTTGTTAATATTTTTTTTTTCTACATGTTTTCTAATACGCACGTATTAATATAAATTGATTAAGAAGTATTATTAAAGTATTAATATATATTAAATGTATGTTTAATTTGTAAAAGGGGAACATATTTGTAACACAGACACAGACACAGATACACACACACACACACACAAACACAAACACACATTTAATATATAGAAAGTATATTTATTTTATTTCTTAAAGAATTTTCATAAGTTTTATATTTAATTTCTTGTAATATAATATAATTTAAATTTGCTCTTGTTTGTTTTCTTTTTTTTTTGTTTTTTAATGTAAATTGTTCAATCATAATTTTATTATAAATAATTAGAGAAAGGATTAGAATATTTATAAAAAAGAAAATTAAATTGGATGATAGATATTAATCTTAATTAGAATACTTATTAATAATAACATTTAATAACATCATACTATATATTTGCATTATATAATATTAAATTCGACGAAATATATTTTTTCTTTCTTTCTTTTTTTTTTTATTGTTTTTTCTTTTTTCTTTTTATTAATATAATGAGTGAGGAATTCGTTTGAGGAACGTCACGGTTCGTTAAGTGGATCGATCTCGTTAATAAATCCATGATGTGTTTTCTTTTAAAAAGATATCATCGTGTTAGTGTGATCTGCAATAGTTGTCGTTCGCATTTCATGTATAGTCTCTTTTTTTTTTTTCATTAAATATATTTTTACTAGTTATCAATTAATCCAATTTAATACAAATTTACAAGTAAAAAAAAAACAAAAACAAAAAAAAAGAAGAAGAAAATAAAACATTCTAAATCATAATGATAACTCCTAATTAGAGTTTTTTACAACATTAACAAAAAAGAAGAAATCATTATAATAATTATCTTAATGAATATTAATCGATAATAATTAATAAAATAATAATTTTAGTAACACCAATGATTGGTTAAAAATATATGTGTATAAATATATATATATATATATATATATATATATATATATATATATTTTTATAATTAAAAAAAAAATAATTCTATATAAATAATAATTCTAGTAACTTTATTTATAATTGATTAAATTAATAAATGTATATTAATATCTACATTTTAATACACTTATTTGATTTAATGTACATATGTTTCTTGAATATTTTTGTCGTTGGAAAAAAGGAAACTTATTAAATTAATAAATTAATAATGAATGTTTTAGGACGAGGCATGTATTAGAGAACGAGACGGTCCGGAAGGTATTTGCGAAACGAAGGCCTGCATAGAAGCCTCGAATAGGATCTTGGCTTCAATGAAAAGAGGTGTGGATCCTTGCAAGGACTTTTATCAGTTTGCTTGCGGTGGTTTTCGCGATCAACAGCCCTATCAACCAAGTTCGAGTTTCAATATGTTGCAGGCACAAATCGACGAACATATTCATAGTAAGTTATACTTATGATTTATCTTTCTACATCAGTTAAGTTAGCTAACTTGTCGAAAACTTTGAATTCCCTTTCTCTCTCTCTCTCTCTTTCTCTCTCTATTTCTACCAGCTTAAGGTATAAAATCATACTGATAATTTATTTTCGTTCGGTATGAAATTTCAATCGTTAGAAAATTTTTATTATTAATTTAACGTTTATTTTATATTAAATTTTTCTTTTTTTCTTTTTATGACATTATTCATAACGTTAAGTCTAAGCTTAAAGATTAGAATAAACTTTTAGGAAATTAACATTGGACCAATTTCTTTTTTTTCTTTTCTTTTCTTCTTTAATTATTCCATTTTCATTTCAATTGTTTCATTCGTAATTTTTTTTTTTTTTTTTTTATACAGTAATTGATGTATTAAGAATAAATTGAAATATACAGAAATTGGAAATGAAGCAATTGAACATTCCTTTTCTTTCTTTCTTTTTTTTTTTTCTTTTTTTTTTTTCTTATAATATTCTTTCGCGAAAGATAAAGGGAGAAAGAAAAAGAATAAAAGAAATTTCAACGTTATCTTACAAAATTGGGATCTAATTATGGAAGAAAACTCTTTCTATTTGTTTTCTTTAGTTGAACATTAGGGGGGTTTTTTTTTTTTTTTTTTTTAAGAACTAAAATAAACGCTCAAAAATCGATAGAATCGCATTAACGAATGTTTTCTCTCTCTTTCTTTCTCTCTCTTTCCCTTTCTTTCTCTTTCTCTCGAGATAAATCTATCTTGGCAGAATTTAGAAAGGAGTCGTCGTTTTTCTTATGGCGTCAAAGAGGAAGAAGAAAAAGTAAGTAGGAGAATCGTGTGACGTACGGTCGAGTTGGCCAAAAAGAATGAAAAGTAACCCACCTTTTCTTTCTATTCTTCATACTCTCTCTCTTTCTCTCTCTCTCTCTCTTTTCTCTCTCTCTCTCTCTCTCTCTCTCTCTTTTTCTCTCTCTCTCTCTCTTTTTCTCTCTCTCTCTCTCTCTCTCTCTTTCTCTTTCCCTCTCTCTTTCATTTCTTCTTCTTTTTCTTCTTCTTCTTTCAACTACACCAGCTGATAGCAAAGCTTCTAACCAATGCCAGATTTTCTTTTAGTTATTTTCGTAAAAAGAATTTTTCTAAAGAGAAGAATTTTTCTTTTCATTTTACCCGACATTTTTTATTTTTCTTTTTTTCCTTCCTTTTTTACGAGATTCGATTTAAATGTTTATATCAGCACGACTTGTCAACATTCTCTCTCTCTCTCTCTCTCTCTCTCTCTCTATCTATCTATCTATCTCTCTCTATCTCTCTCTATCTCTCTCTTTCTTTCTCTCTCTTTCTACATATATAGATTTCAAAAATAGCCCATATATAAAATGTTGGAAACAATTTTTATCTTCGTTACAATCATTCACTCTAGTTATTATAATCTAGTGAATATAAATTAATTAAAGAATATTAATTACATTAATTAATAATGAATATAAATTAATTATAAATAAAGATCAATGATGAAGTCATGATAAAGTCATCTGTAATACATTTGGTAATTTTTAATTTTCTTTATCAAATTAGATTGATATCATTCAGAGTATCCTCACTTTCGTTAGATAGATCAATAGAAACGTTTGAAACCTGTCTTGAGCATCAGAATTGGCTAATCGCTATCATCCCTGGCCCTCTTCTTCATTGCCGAAGTGTCGGTGATGAAGCCTTAGTTAGTAGTTGATTTTACGTAAGATAGAAAAACGTTGAGGGGGTAGCGGGGAGGGAAGGGAAAAGAGAAAGGGAAAGGGGGATCTACATGTATGCATTTTCAACAAACCCGATTAATCGTATTTAAAGGGGTCAAGTTCGTCTTTAAATAGACAATAGGCGATTTATTGTTCCTTGTTATCTTCGTTTAATCAAAAAAAAAAAAAAATTATATATATATATATATATATATATATATAAATGGTAAATTAAAAGAAATATGGCTAAGAACCATTGCTAACTCAGATATAATTTTTATAGAAGACGCATATATACGTACACATGTATATAGGTATATATGTATTTGTAAAAAAAATTTAATTTGACTTCGTTTATAAAGAATAAAATTTATTTTCAAATAACGTCTAACGAGCGAAGATAATCGTACTTAATTGATATCGTAATTAATTGAAATTATCTATTAATGGATAATATAAAAATTCAATTGTTCATATAATAAATTGGATATATTTTTTGTTTATATAAAAATTATTATGTCGTGATGTATTTGCAAAAAAGAAAAAATAAATAAATAAACAAAGTAATCACGAATTAAATTATTAATAAAATTAATATGTTATAATTAATGGATATATGATGTAAGAGAGAAATATTAAGAATAAGAACGATGAAGGAATAGTATTTAATAAAAAGAGAAGAATTATGAAAGTTCGAATATATTTCGTAATAGATTTTCCATTGAAGTTGAAATAATCATGACGATCAAGGACGACCACCGCGTAAAAAATTTTACGGATGTCGAACAATTCGTTCGAAAATTTGAAAGCTACCAGACCGGCGTCGGTTCATTAAATCGTAACGAGCCGTCTGTACGCTGAGAAGTTCCTCGTGCGGTGGAAAAGTTGAAAGGGCATGGTAAACTTGAAGTACGTTCTTTTCATTTTCAATTCTTTCTCTTTTTCTCTCTTTCTCCCTTCCTCCCTTTCTCTTTTTCTATCTCTCTTCCTTTCTCTCTCTCTCTCTCTCTCTCTCTCTCACTCACTCTTTTTTCTGTTCTACACCCCAATCCACCATTTCCCCTACTAAAGCATCACGCAGCAAAAGTGTTATTCACGTTACGGTTTCTCCAATTGCAAGATCCTTCCTTGGTCGAGATGAGAGAATATATATACATTTGTGTGTGTATATGTGTGTGAGGGAGAGAGAGAGAGAGAGAGTGGAGGGCAAAAAAAGACTTTCGTTGCTTTGCTGTGGTATTAATGAAAGAAAAACACTAAGAATACTATCAGTTTCTACTCGTAAACTATACACTCTCTTTTTCTCTTCCCTCTCTTTCTATCTCTTCCTCTCTCTCTCTCCCTCTCCCTCTCTCTCTCTCTCTCTCTCTCTCACTCTCTTTCTCTTTCTCTTTTCCTCTCTTTTCTCGTTTTTATATACTTGGTATTAAAAGTGATCCACGTAAAGTGTTACAAATTATTTCCGTCGAAATTGTTGCAATATAAATATTAATTGATTTCTCTTTTCACATCTAAATATATATATATATATATATATCTTCCTCTTTTTATATATATATCTAAGATATTAAAAATGTTCGTCTATGTGTTTCTCTTTTGTATCAAGAGATAGTTCATCGAATATAGATTTTATTAGATTCGATAAGAAGTATTATACCTTTCTCAGAGAATTTTATTTCCTTTCTTTTTCTTTTTTTTTTTTTTTCAGAAATATTAGCATTTTATTAAATATATTAGCATTATATTATGTTCTCTCCTTTTTTGTTAATAAACTTATCGTATCTTCTTCTTCTTCTTTTTTTTTTCTTGTTTTTTGTTTCTTTTTTTTTTTCTATTCTATTAAAAATCCATTCTAGATTTAATGTAAGGAAAAAAATAATTGAATTCTGAGTAAACATCTACATAATGTATAAAGACTACCGTGTAAACAGTTCGTAACTGTTTGTGTGCGATCTATCTATCTATCCCTTTTATTTCCTTCGGAAAACATCTTCCTCGGGAAATGGTTCTTCCTAGGAGGGGATTCTAATTTTCGTTAATGCATGAAACGCATTCGTTCGATAAGAATGCAAATGCATTGTTGTTTACGCACATGTACTTACATGTGTATACTTACGTATATGAATATATATATATATATATATATATATATATATATATATATATATGTAAGTAGTAAGCAGGAGGTAGTTTGGTTTAATAAACAATTAACGTTCTTCTCATTATCGTTATTATTATTATTTTTTTTTTTTTGAAAAAGAATTTTAAATAGCTAGCCATATTATTAAAAAATTATTTAATAAATTTGTTAATAATTAACATTCTGTTCTTTCTTCTATCTTCTGCTTTTTTTTTCTCTTCTTTGTTATTATAATTAAAAGTCATACTCTTAAAGTAGATAAAAGTGAATTAGAAAAATTTCGAAATTTACTTAATTTAATTTATTTAAATAATATTTAAATGCATGAAGGAAAGAAAAAAGAACACGAACAAAAAAGGCGAATTTTGTTTTTCTTTTTTTTTTTTTTTTATCTTCGATCAATATATTATGACTATAAGAATGAAAATAATTTTTAATTGTTATGTACATGGGGAGAATGGAAAAGTCCTTGGATGATTTTTAAATATCAATTACCAATCGATTGTTTTTCGAATCAGGCTAATTTCCTCATCTTGTTTTCTTTCTTCTTTTTTCTCTTTTTTTTTTTCTTCTTTTTTCTCTTTTTTTTTTTTCGGATTGTAAAACTGTAAGACTAGCTTGTAAAACCACAAGCTTATCTGCGAACTTGAATGAATAAGTCTCTCGAAAAAGATTGATTGATTTTTTAAAATCATCTAGGAAGTTTTGACCCATTTTTAAAAACTTTTCCGGCCTTTTTGTATGTACATATGCATATAATGATGAACTCTTCCTATGTAATATATAATATATTTTTGGATAGTAGTAAATGGGTGGAGATTGGGTGATCGGGTGGATTGGTAGTGGGGGAAGAAGGATAGTAGTCCGGGTTCGTGGTCGATGGAGCAAACGAAAAATTGTCAGAAATAAAAGAAATATCGTGTAAGCATTAATTTCGTAAGGATAGAAGGAAAATACGATAAATAAATGAGTTGGGATAACTAGTACGACCTCGTTTTTGAGAATGATGCTCGACGACTGTGTATTACGTATGATCGATGCGGCAAGTAAAACCGGCGCCACGCGATTCGCGTACGTTCTAGCAAAGCCAGAGCTTGCGACCTTAACAGGAACAATAGG